CCCCCTCCTCTTGTCCCTGGCGCCGCCCCACCCCGCCGCACGGCGCGCGAGCCAGATGGGTGGCCTACCCTGCGGGCGCAGGTCCCGGCGCGTGGCCCTGCGGCGCCCAGTAAACAGGGACCTGCTGCCTTTTTAATTTCGTTTGCGGAGGCTAAATTTTTGAGCGAGTCAGCGCGCTATGCTGGTCACCAGAGGCGCACACTCTCTCGTGGCGTGCGTGCGTGGCGCCGTGTAAAGCTGCACCTCGCCCAAGTGTTGACCCCGTTCACGCCGGAGCCCTTAACCCTCTTTGTACTCTCACTCCCCCATCTCCCCTCTTTTTACTCTCCGACAGCCCCTCCCACGGACACGCTATCCTACACCAAACCAAAAAGCTTCCGATGGCGTTTTAGAAATGTGCCGAGCAAATGCAGCGGTTTGATGCTTGCCTTTGCAAAGTTACCTTGTTTTTTGCGCTGCTTTATCCCCCAGTTGCCCGACTTTACTCTCGTCGGTTGCGATCGCTCCGTCTTCATCAAATCATGGATGTGACTGTACGCTGCTTTCCTCTTTCTCTCCCGTTCTCTTTTCGTCCGGCTTCAGCCTACGGGGCCCTCTTTCCTTCTCGCTCCGGCTGATCTGGCGGGGCGGGGCACGGGGACGGGGCAGTGGCCCTCCCCTTGACCTCCCAGCTCAGCTATCTCACGTACTGCAGGTCTGGAGCTGCCTACCCTTCTTTCTGTTTCTCTCTCTCGCTTGCCCCTCTTTCTCGGTCTCATCCCCTCCTCCTCCATGCCAGTCGCCTCTCTTCCGCCATGTTCAAGGTGGCACGGGGTTACCTCAATAAATATTCACCACCACAACCCTCCGTTTCTCTCTCCCCCCTCTCTCTCCCTCCCCTCTCTCTCCCCGTGTCTCTCTTTTCCTCTTCTCTTCTCTCTACCCCCGCCCCTCAAGATGGCGGCTCCGCACGCTGCTTGCGAGTCGCTTTGCCTGCGGGGTGTACGCCAGTCAGCCGGTGGCCGGTGCGTGCCTGGCCTCGGCGCGTTAACGCTCTCGTCGGCCACGCGCGCGCCCGCCAGACGAAAAAAAAAAAGGGATCCCTACGAGTTTTCAAAGCCTCACTGATTAACTATCAATGTTAAACTGGTCAACACTTCTAAGTGTGCTGCTCCGTAGTTGTACTCTTTTAAGTATTCAACCCGGTAGGTGTGCACTTGCAAATGTGGAACTGCCTCGGTTGAACACTTCCTCATTATATTGAAGACTCACTGCATTGTTAACAAAAAAATCTTTTGTGAATTAACAACGAAAGAGTTGTTAAAAGTGTGTCAGCAACACATGTCGTTTTTTGACAACAATACATGTTGTAGATAAACAACACAGAGAAAAATCTCGGCAACACAGATTCTGACCAAAAACGGTCACACTGTTTTGCTCCTGGAAAAAACAGTTGTAAGATTACGAGTCCGTTGTTTTTGAACGAAATGTGTCGCTTACAAAATTGACTTGTATTTCCTTGCACATTTAGAGCAAAGCAAGTAGTATCTGTTGTGGGCAATAAGCCGAATAGCACAAGTGTCGCGAGGGGTGAAATGAAAATAACATTTGTTGTTTATTAACAGCTGTATCGTTTCAAAAATGCTTGTTTTTTACAACCTTTTTTAACAGTGTGTGTAGGAAGTGCTCAGCCGAGCAGGACTTGCACACTTGCAAGTGAACACCTACCAAGTTGAACACTTGCGAGTATTCAATTTCACTGGTGTAAATTCCATCAGGATTTCCTGATCTCAGTGCCCTGATTCCTTATCGTATCTCAGGTTTCTGATGGTTTTCTCAGTTCCTGATGGTTAGTTTCTGAGCGTTCCTTCAAAACCTGATGGTAATATCTAAATTTTTGATGGTATTTTTCCCCTGGTCGTAAAATTTCTGATGGTATTTTTCTGGTCGTACAAACATCTTTGATGGTTAATTAACATTTCCTGTAAGTTCCTTTCAGTACAATCAGAAAATAAAGTTTTCCTGATCGACTCGATTCAGCAAATAACTGTCCTGATGAAACTATGCGTCACACGGTAAAACGGCTTTGTGTGGTGTGAGAGGATCACATCGTTTGCTTACATTAAAACAAAATCACCTTTACCACCCCGTGTCCGTGATTTCTAGGAGAACGGCTAAAGATAGGACAATTCTAACCATGTGCACTTTACGCTTTCGCATAATCGCATATTTTCCTAAACTTCACTAAAATGGACTGATAATCAACTGGTTAGCACCGCCATAACCTCCATATACGAATCCGAAGAGCATAGAAAAAGCATAATTACCAAAAAGCGCATCATAGAGGCATTTTCGCATAATAAGAGCAAAATTGCTGTATAAGGTGTGAAAACGGATGTATTTCACAAAATTAACGCGTTTACAGCAAATTCGAGTTCCGTTTTGAGTCTGTGCGTAACGACACTGTTTTCGACATATTGCAGACGATTGGTTTATCCGGGAACAATTAAACTGGTACAATTGCACTGCAAAAAATTATGACAGGAAAACTACAGATCGTCCTGCTAATTATTTTCCAGGAACTTCTGTTATTCGAATAACAGCATCGATGTAGTTTTAATGGTTAAAATTTGGTACAGGGAGCAATGTACAGGACCACTGTAAGGCAAAAGCGCGGACAAAACTGTCTACAGTGGAGCCGTATTCGTACACTGTACCGTGTAAATCCTGGGCTTTCCGGTGCTACAGCAACACTGTACTCCGCGCTCTGTACCCTAGGTGCAGTGACTAAGAGCGGCATCTACAGTAACGCTGTAGATCGTTCTGTATCAGACTCTAATTTTTTGCAGTGTGCATGCGTCTCGACATTGCGCGTTCATTCATGTGCCTCGCCCTTGCACCACTCATTCGCCCACAGCAAGCCTCGAATTGTGAATTTTATGACCGTTACGCACGGACAGTCTCTCTGAAATTGCCTTTCAGTTGCAAACAAAATCACCCCCCAAAACTAGTCTGTGTACATTATCAGGCTAAAGTGCACCCGCATCGTGTTACTGACTCTTGCGACCCTTTGTCAGTAATATAGTGTTGGGTTGGTTTGAACGCTTCGGGAATGACAATATTTATGAGTAAAACGCATTAATAAGATTTACTTACTGACAATTTAACATTCCATCAGTGTATTTATCGAATGAAATTGAACGTTATAATTGTCAAATTTAAGTGCACAACCATAAAGAAACAAAATAATCAGTGCAGATAGTAAAAAGTATGAGATTTTTATATATTGTGTCAAATTTTATGACTCATCGACACTCGTAGCCTATACACACGGAGTTCGTGGACGCTCCGTATAAATACACAGTTCCCGGGGGCTCGGTACAAACACGGAGTCCAGCCGGCCGCCGTATAGCGTCGTAACTATCTTTTTTGAAAATTTTAAGTTATGAAATGCGTCGGATAGAAGAAAGCAGGGGCTATCGATCAGCGAAAACCGCATTGCGATATGTCAATTAGTTCAAAAGTAATTCTGGTCTAAAAATCTAGCCGCCCGTAAGGCTCAATGTAAATCCCAAACTTTGAAGCGCTTTATCTCAGAAGTGACTTTCAAGCACTTACGACGTTAAACGGTGACCCGCTGAACTGCGTGTCTGTACGGAGCTGCCTGGAACTACGGGTTTATACGGAGACTCTACGAACTCCGTGATTGTAGGTTTCAAGTGTCGATGTCATGACTCTAAAATTTGTATTTGTTGCGAAATATGTTTGTAGCTTTTACGAGAAATATTTTGTAAATAGGGTGTTCCAGGCTATCTAGAACGGAAGTGAAAAAGAACAAACTCACCGATTAATCTGTTTTGCCTGGTCAGAACGTTCAGCAGAAGAAGTGTTACAATTTTAAAAGAAACTAACACTAATGGTACGTTGGTTAACAGGTAAGCAAGCCATCATTGTTTAATAGAGTGGCGCTAACCATGGAGCAAACCCTGGATGACGAGATTGCACTGCAACCGTTACCGCTGCAAGGTCCTGCAGATCGTCTCCCGCTACCCGTCCAGACGGGCTTCATGGACGTCCACACCTTTCTGCAGTTCTATGGAGGTGAGTGTGGTGATTGTCATCTTTTTATTTGACGTGGCCATGATGACTTTGAGCAGCCTGCGATGGCTAGAATGCAACGTTGCAGTGATTGTCTCCTATACGTTTTGGAGAAAACTACGCACTTTTATAGGTCCTGTTTTTCCTTTTCTGGGGCGTGCGCCCCGCTTTGAGAGCACGTTAGAAGCACCAGGTCTGGACTAGGCCTACTCTCCAAATTGCAGCATGTTCAACTTGGCAGTGAAATGCACCGGATCGAGAGGCTTCGCGATGAAAGGGGTTACTATGCTAGTTAGATATGTACGCCAGATCACGTCTCGCGTAACAGGCTTTGCAATATCTCACGGAACCTGAACAATGCAGCACGTGCGGCTATTTTGTCAGATTATTTTGTAAAACCCACA